TTAAAACTAAAATTTTCCGAAACAGAGCTAGCACATTTTTGGCTGCATATAAAAAATGAGTATCCACTGCTTTCAAAGCACAATATTGCAATTCTCTTACCATTTGCCACGACCTACTTATGTAAATTGGGGTTTTCAACTCTCACTATGATTAAATCAAGAAAAAGAGAATGCCTGAGGACGATCGACCAAGAGATGAGAGCAGTCTTATCAACAGTTGTTCCAAATTTTGATCACCTGTGCTCAGTTAAGCAGGCTTACATTTCTCATTAAACATTGTACTGATTTTTATAATAAATAAATATTAAATAAACATTGGTTTTGTCTTTGGTGTACCTCCTAAAATTTCTTGATTTGGTAGGTGTTCCGCAAACAAAAAGTTTGTGGAACACTGCAGTAGAGCATAGATTATCCAAATATCAATCAACTTGAAACATCAGTTAACTGAAAGTGTTCCAGTCAGCAAATTTAAAATTCTGCTAGCCAAATTGGAGTAGCCCAAGACAGTGCTGTGGCAGCACCACAGCACTGTCTTGGGCTACTCCAATATTTCTGTTGGTATGAGAGTTTTAGCTGGCAGCACTGGTGCAACAATGAGAGAGTACTTAAGGACGCATCAGGATTTGAACAAATTTTAACTTGGGATGGATTAATATATTTTTTCATACATAATCGATTATCTGAACAACTCCAGCCCTGAATTGTTTCAGATAATTGATGCTCTACTGTGTGTGTGTGTGTATAAATAAATAAATATACATACATACATACGATGTATTTATAAGATTTTATAAACATTAAAAACATGTTCAGTTTTTAAAGTTCGTTAGAAAAAGTTTTACTTCAAAATAATTTTTAAAATTTTATAAATGTATTATAATTCATCATAAACTTAACTTTTACTTTTATAAAAGGGTAAAAAGGATGTTGCCCAGATTTTCAATAATATCTTACGAAGACAGATAGGGACCCGATCTCCCACTGTGGAGTATATTTGTACAAAGCCAGAGATTCTTTTTACTTTGATGAGAGGGTAAGTATTTATTATTACTATTCTTTTTTAATTCAAAATATTCTTGATAAACGAATATTTGAAGCTAGACACCAACCAATGCCAAAATCTATTGGGCTAGACACAGCTATATTACTAAATAAATTATGCAACCAATTTGGCACTAGAGGGAAGCATTAGGTGCCATCTCTTAAAAATTATAATTATTAAAGTTATTAATTAATTTAAATAATTTAGAACTACCAAAAGAAAAAATCGGCCTAGAGCAGGACATCTGCACAAGTAAGCAGGATCCACAACTCCTGCTTACTGTGCAGATGTGTTGCCAGTTATGCTATCTGGACCTCCAGTCCGATCTCTTCCAGTATATATAAGCTTACATTATAACCATCGGCAGTTATTATAATGCTGGCTGGGGACACATTCAGCGTCCACGTTCGGCATTGATTAGTGTTTAGTTTTATAGTATATCGGGTTTAGCAATGTTGTTTGTTTACGAATAATTGAATTTTAACAGATACGAGAAGCAGGAGATTGCTTTGAACTGTGGTACCATGTTACGCGAATGCGCTCGTTACGAGGCACTGGCCAAAATCATGCTTTATTCTGATGATTTTTATAATTTTTTTAAATATGTTGAAGTTTCGACATTCGATATCGCTTCTGATGCCTTTTCGACTTTCAAAGTACGTCATCTTTTAACTTTTTAAAATAATAAAAAAAAAGCTTTAAAAAAACTGTTATTTTTAGGAACTTCTGACTCGTCATAAAATACTCTGTGCAGAATTTTTAGAAAATAATTATGATAAAGTATTTAGTCATTATCAGCAATTGTTGAATTCAGAAAACTATGTTACTAGAAGACAGTCATTAAAGGTTTGTAGAATAACTTTGAAAATTTTATTATCAGTCATTTTTTAAAATATTTTACCAAACTTATTTTAGTTACTGGGAGAATTACTTTTGGATCGTCACAATTTTACCATCATGACTCGTTACATCAGTAATCCAGAAAATCTGAAGTTGATGATGAATATGTTAAAAGAAAAAAGTAGAAATATACAGTTTGAAGCATTTCATGTATTTAAGGTATTTATTATCTTTCAAATTTGGAACGTATAAAAATATTACACTACTTAAAATTAATTTTTATTTTATTAGGTGTTCGTTGCAAATCCAAATAAACCAAAACCTATTCTGGATATTCTGCTCCGCAACAAAGAGAAGTTAGTGGATTTTCTTACTAAATTTCACACTGACCGATCCGACGATGAGCAGTTTAATGACGAAAAGGCTTATTTGATTAAACAAATCAAAGAATTAAAACCCCATGAAGAGCACTAGCATTTGTTTCCCCCTGGGTTCTATTAATATAAAAAGGAGGTGTAAAACACAGACATTATATATAGAGATGTCCTATGGGCTACCCAATCAAACTGCAATTTGGTCCCAAAATGGTGCAAAATAATGCCAAAGTAAATTAGGTGATGCCTCACTAAGCTTTTTTCCCCCTTCGAGCTCGAATCACCTATACATAGTTGGCACATATGCCAATGCACGCCGTGCATTTCTCGGTTCTGCTGACTTGTGTTTGACAATTCAGACCGACTAGAATTAAGCACTTAAAATTGTAATAATAAAATTTCTGTCATAAATATCAATGAGGTAACATAACAGAAGGTAAAATGCTCAAAATTGTAAAATATTACTGTAAAAAGGCATTAATGGCGGCATTGCATCTTCAAAGTCTGCTATATTCTGGCAAGAATCTTGAAAATGAACTCCACCTGTAAAATGTTAAAATATTATAGCTTAAAATAATAAACTAGTTTTTCTAATATAATTATTTTTGTTGTCTAATATTTCTAAGAAAAGAGAGAGTATATATAAATTATATATATATATAAAACTAAAACAACCTTGAAGACTTTCCTTCAAAATAGTTATTTTTCCCTTTAATTTGATTATTAAAATATTGGTGCACAATTCTAGTTTACTGAATTATTATTTAACTTTAGAAAATAGCAAGAGATTACTAAACAGTGTTTTGTAAAAAAACAAAAAAATAAAGCACATCTTTTGTGATATAGAGTGGCTTTTAGATTATGAAATCTGGCAGTTGATTGTGTCTGGAAGCATATTTTTGTTATCTTAACCAAGCATTTAACAGAATACATCAATGGGGAAAATAGTAAAACTAGTTAGTTGTTTGTCTGGAAATTTTTTCTTTTGCTTTTAATAGTTAATATTTACGTTTCGGAAATTATATAAAATATGCTTGTTCGGTTTTGTATACATGTTTTTTTATACTTTTCCCACTAAAACTCTTGCCTATTGTTTTTTGTTAGTATTTTGGTACATATCTGTATATTGCACTTTTATTTCAATCTAGAATTGTTTTAGTAATGTTCTAAATGTTAGTATTTTTGTATCGTGCACGATAAAATGTTATCTTACCATAAAAACGTAATAGATAATACAATAAAATGTAACCCGATCCGGAAGTCTAACCATTATTATAGATTCAGTGACTTGTAAAATAAATAAATATAAATAAAATATATATATATATAAATATACTATATATATACACATATTACATATATATACATACAACTTCTTTCAAATTATGTGGTCATCTGTGAATTTCTTAGATAGTTGCATATCAAACATTGTTGAAGTACTTAGACCTTAATGGTAATGCAATGTTCAATTAACAGTCACCATATTGTTGGTGTCATTCTTTTTATATTGTGTCATTTTATTAAGTCTTATTAAAAATGCCATTTCTGGATGTGTTTTAATGTTTCTCTACAAAATTTTTTAACATGGATAATTTTGAAAGTTATCTGTGGACATCAACAGTTTGGTCATACCATATGAATGTTATTTAATATTCTTCTGTAAAATGTTATCAACATTCTATTTTTTATTTCATTCAACACAAATTACTAGTATTTTAAAGTATAAATCAATAGTACTTAAAGTGTTATTTATGGAAAGGTGTTGTTTAAGAATATTTGAACTTTTGTGCAAAAATTGTATAACTTGACAAGTGATGATATTTTGTGGCACAATCTGCCATATATATGTGTGAATTGTGTCAACTTTGTGAAAGATTTTAAAAATTGTTGTTGTTTTATTAGAATATCAAATGTTGTATTTGAAGTCTGTATTAAATTTAAATGGTTAATAATTTTAAAAATTGATAATTTAGATATTATGAGATATTATAGAGCAAATTCATTTAATAAAAGATAATTTCAGTATTACAAATATATTTAGAAAATTATTTTATTTAACTGTTGTCATTCCTGTAGCTGTTTTGATCATTATTTTGTTAAAATTTTACCTTTTCTTATTATATATGTTCATTAATAATCAGTATCATGATGAAATGTGTATTCAACAGATGTGCCACTATTAGTGCCAAAGTTTGATGATAATCTTTAAATCTAAAATTGTGTGAATATGCATTACTTGGAATTTCCTTGTAAATCTTGTTGTATAAGAAAGTTAGTATAGTGAATTATTGTGTATATTTGTTACATATTCACAGAAAAAAGAAAGAAAAAAAAGCAATTTAGAGATGGTTTTGAAACAGTTGTGCTGATTAGTCTGTCTTGTTAACATGCTCATTTATTCTTAAATATAAAAATAATAATAATAATATGTCTTGTTTTTATATTAATTGAATAGTAATCTTTGTTTTCCAGTATTCCTAAGATGTTACCATTCCGAAATTGAAGTTGTTAAAGTTTAGAAATAAATGGGTAGTTTTCTGAAATATTTTCTAATGTGATTCTTACTAAATTGTTTCTAACCATGTCATGTTTTCCCTTCCCTATTACTTCATTGTGATAGCAAAAATTACAAATAAATTTTAAAGTCGTATTTAATATCACTTCAAGTGATTTTAGTAGAATAAAAATTTTCATTGATTGTTAAATTAATTGTATTAATAATTGTATTGATGATTGTGTTATGTATTATTATGGGGTTTAAACCAAGTTTATGCATAGATCTTGCTGAGATTACACTAATGTGTTTTATAAGCAATCCTGCCGCATCATTGTTGTGAACAATTTGCCTCCATCTTACATTATTGATTATCATCAAAAATTTTTTTACTTAAAAAAATGTGCAAAGCATATTACATAAACAAGATAAAATGCATTAATTAGTAAATGTAGAATATAAGTTACAATATACCTGCTGTAAAATGTGACAGAAATAAGATTTTAATATAGAAAAATTATCGTTGCTTATTTAATGTATTTTTGAGTGTTTTTATAGTGAATTTGTTATGAAAGTACAGAAATCTTCCATTAAAAATGAAAATTAGTCCATAATTTGTAAAAATGAAAGCCTTTTTTTGTTGTATATATATCAATGTTTCTCAACCCTTATATATTTGGGCTGGTAAATTTATTCAAAAAAATACATTGAAAATAATGTAACAGATGGCAAAATATACTATATTTATTTATACTATATATGTATATAAATGACATGTATAAAAGTTTAAATACTTACTTGTTTTGTGAATTAAAAGAATAAGTAAATTCATTAACCTCAAATTCACTGTGGAAAATAGTCAAACAAACTTTTTAAACTAATATAGAAATTTTAAAAAACCTGTTAAAACATCTTAAAAATCTATTATTATTCTGATTTCCTTACTTTGTTTTATTTTACTTATTATATATCAGAAAACCAAGCCCAACTCAGCCCAGTGGTTGAGAAATATTATCTATTATAAAGATCTCGAACATAGTCATATTTTAACAATCATTTATATTTAAAAGCAGTCTGTTGAAATGGCTACTACTATTTCCTGTATGTATATACTGTCTTGCCAAAAGTTGTATATATTTGTCATGTCGTTTTAGGGTTATATTGTTGATGTTTTTCATTACAAGGTTTGTTGTTAATTAGAATCCATGTTGTCATGTCTGTGGACTTTAGAAAGGCTGATTTATTAATCAAGAAAATTGTTATTGTGCATGTATTTTTGATTCTTATTATACATGTACTAGGCCATAATCAAGGTAGTGTGTGCAGTTTTTTCTTCATTGTGTTTTTAAACGGAATATGGTTCAATAAAGGCTGTTAATGTTATTCTGTACCATGAGTGCTTTAAATCTTAAATAATTTTGATTAAAACACAAATAATTATTAAAAAACCATTATATTTTGAGTAAAAAACAAAAATTATATTTGAGATTACTTGACAATTAATAATGTATATAATATAAATTCAACAAATATAAAATTTTATGTTTATGAAATTTTTGTTTTTATTTTAGAATTCAAATTTACTTTTTTCATATATGATCAAGACATATTAAAAATAATAATAAGTTTAAAAATAAATAAAAAAGTTGGTGGAATGCAAAGTCCATCACATTTATTTTAACCTGTTAGTTGAAATATATTTTTAAAAAATTGTTTTGACAAAACAGCAAACTATCTAACATAAAGAAATGTGTGCTTTAAAAAACAGATATGGGTTGATTTATAGGAGTAAACATAAAAGCAATATAAAACAGAATAAAAATGTTATCTGAAAACAAAAAAAATTGCATGATAACAGTATATAAAAAGTCGTATGTGAAGGATGTTGTTAATGTTTATGTACGTTAGTAAGTTGTATGGTTTATATAATCTCTTAGCAATAATTTATGTTCTGAATAAAAACGATTTTTCCTGTTTAAATAATTTAACTAAATAAACAATTTTTTAGCATTTCTTTTTAAAAATAACACACCCAATTCATCTATAAAGAGAAGGGGTGAAAATGACAGATTTAAGTTATTTAAAACATAAATATATATATAAAATATTAAAAAGATTCCATTTTACATATGAAAACATCTTTTCATATGTAAAATCTTAATGAAAAGATTTTCTTCCCATTAAAATTTCCTGATGAAGACATAACTGTCATACTTCCTCTAAAATATTTCATTGGAAGATTAAGAAAATAACGAACGCCACCAGCAAAACAATTTATCCCAAGTTAAGTAGGCGACATTATTGTATGTAATTAAGAAGAGCGTTAAGCTAGCATACGGAATGCATTCATAACCAGGGCCATCGAGAGCTTATATGGGCCTAGAGCCCATTTGTCTTTTTTTTTTTTTTTTTGTACAAATGAAATACGCGGAATATTCCTTTATTAATAAAAAACAGTTTTAAAAATTTTCTGTTAGTAAAAGTAATATTAACTTATAGGAGTAGGAACAGAACCGGTTTTAGACTTTGTTGCCTTACGCTATAACATGCAAAAGGCACTTCCACCAAATAGTAATGGGCTGTACAGTGTAGCCCATACAGTGGCGCACTCAAGATTTAATCTTGAAGAAGCCGAGTTGAACGGATAAAACATTTTTAATGCGGAATTCAATAAAATTTCCACCCTATGTGGTCGCTAATTCATAAGTAATAAGACTATAGAAATAGAAGATGACACAATATAAACAAAAAAATGTATTTTAATTAGGAAAAAATTTTTGAAGGATGCCGGGCCCCTTGGCCCCCTTCGAGTGTGCCACTGGCAATATGTATATAAACTGTCATTGAGAATGACGGGTGGAAAAAGCCTGAGGAAATTTTCATGTGGTGGCCGTCCCTCACCACTCGGTAGCCCCATTGTGGGCCTGGCTCAACCCAAAAGAGGCCCTCTTAGTATTCACAGGGCGGAAAGTCTTTGAGAATAGGAGGCCTTAAGCTATAGCTTACATGTAAACCCAAGTTTTAGACTAGGGTCCCATTTCCAGGACTTAAAGAAAAGCCCCCTACCGGCGGCCTTGTTCACGACGAATTTAGCTATAAATAATTATTTCAAATATTTTATACTTTCAGGAAGAAAATTTCATTCGGACTTTCGCAATTTTTATTAAATTATAGAAAATTTAAACAGAGATTGCGTCAGTATTATTTTTTTAAGACTTCGAAATTTAGAAATGTCATTTGCGTTTAAACCGGACAAATAATTTCCGCCGTTTTTATTCGATAATAAATCCCGAAGTAATAAAATAACAATAATTCACATTGATATAAAAACTTGACAAAGCCAAAAATATCGATTTTGTCATTATCTAATTCTCACCTTGTCACAAAATTTCCATTAGATACAATCTCCTCGGATAAAATTGCAGGCGACAAAATGTCGTTTTTGTTACGTCATCAGCGTTATAAACGGGAATTATCAAATTACTCTTTAAACGATAAATAAAAATATGATTATATAGTTAAAATGTAAATCTATCTTGTTTTTACATATTTATAAAATNAATTTTTTAAAATTAAATGTTCATCCTTTAGATACAGAAGCAGGCGACCGTTGTTACTAATTACGTCATTGGCGATATAAGCGATTGCCAAATTTTTAATCGAAAAATAGATATTAATAATTTTATTTTAAATAAATTATACAATATAGGTCAAGTTTTATTTATAAAAAGCATTATATCTGTATATTAAAATGGCGCCATCTATGAATAAATAAATCACTAAAATTATTTTTAAATATTTTTAGAATTTTTATATTTAAAAAAAAAAATGTACATATGAACTTTTAGAATCTGTTTGCGTGATCAAACTGTACAGAAATGCTTAATTTCCATTGTGTTTGTATACCGGTGTTCATTACTCTCCATCGATGTCATTTGTGATTACTGAAAATGGCAAAACTTGATCTTACATCACCGCTTCAAATTTACATTCAAACATTAATAAATACAGTTGATTAATATGCAAAAATATGGATTTCGCGGAAGATTATGCGTTAATTTTCCACCGTAATGGTCATTTCCATCTCATAATTTAGTTCTGCTGTTGTTGGCACTTGGAACGAGGAAACGATCATTTCTCCTTCTTTTCTTTTTTCCAATGTTTCTTGGCGTTAAGCGTTTGCCTTCGCCTCCTTCTCCTCGATGTTCCTTTATGTTAAGCGTTTCTGTCTAACGTTTTCTTGATACAATTAAGTTTTAAACGTGTTCTGGATGGCTTGAAACAATGGTGTTCGGTTGAAATTCTTGTTGCATTCTTTCACTTCGACTTTTAAATCCATAAGTTCTTACAACGATTTTTACGCCTTAACCACTTTGAATAAAGTCGATTTAGTCGGCGTGTATCTTCAATTTCGATTTTCCTACACGAAAAATCCATTTTGTTAACGGATAAACTTGTTAGAATTACTTCAGATTTTTGATAAATATGGGAGATGACATTGTATTATTTTCGTTCATCTGGTAGAACTATTCAATTTATCACCCTACACAAGTGAGTTCGGTGAATTAACCAAAGCCATCGATCGTTAGAAGGCAGTAAGTTGCAATTTGTGTCTCATTTAATAGAGTTTCCACTCTATCTGCCTGTCTGAACAGTGAATCCTTGTCTAAACTGCTATCTAATTTGATATCATGAAAGCAGTGGATTAGTTTGTTAAGTTAACTAAAGTACCTCGTTTATACGTTCGAGATTGTCGGTATGTTAGAAGGCTAAATAAATTCCTTTACAAATCTGGTATCTGTCTCATCTGCGGTTGAAACTGTTCCTTTGAGGGTATACTGTTTTCTAACAAATTCTAAAATTGCTGAAACACAGTTAAAGAATCCAGTTCCTATGCGTTACAATACGCTACATCGAAACTTGTCAGGAACTGTTCGGCAAACAATCAATCGTTCCTTTCAGGGCCCGCTGTTTCTTCGTTTCTAGGATTCTCCTAATCCTATTGAGGTGAACCCAAATTGCCAATGCCCACTTTTAAAGCCTATATTAGAGAATTGAAGCTTTATGGTATACGTAGGCCACATTGAATACTGTCAGAAATTGTTCTGCAATCAATCAACCTGTATCCCTTCCATTTTTTTCCCCTTAATAACCGTGTTGCATAGTCAGATGGGGAAGTTCTCCTTAAGGTAGGCCATTTAAATGACAGAGAAAAATTGTTCTTTTTTCTGAAAGTTTGACGTTATTCCCACACTTTACTATCGGTCGATAAATTATCGATCTTTTCTATGTTTAACTGAAATTCTTGGCATAGAAAGTGGGTCTGTTAGATTAATTATAGTTAAAATATATTCCTGTTTACAGTATGTTGACATAACAGATTGCAAAACAGGAATAACTTAGAAAGAAAAAGCGAAAAAAAAAATTAATTTACACAAAACCAAAAGTAATTAACAGAAATCTGCTAAGTTAACTCCATTAATTAAAGAAAGGAACGAGAAGAGGAAAAAATATATTAAAAAATTCTTAATTAAAAAAAATAATGAATTCTAAATGAAAATTTCGACTTGGTGTTTGTTATCTTGCACAGCAAGAAGTCATTATCTGTAGGAATGTTAAAACGATAATTATATTTGTGAAACTCTATCCGGCCAGATTTAGTTTCAAAGAAAACTTCAATTTATCGATTAATCCTTCTAATTAAACTTTGTTCAAGTTCAAAGTTAGTTAACAAATTATATTTAAAGGTTTCATTTGAAGGTGTTTTGAATTTGAAAATAAAGTCGACACTTGCAAAATGATTTTGATGGATGGGTGCGGATACACGGATAATGCCACATCCGCTACAATCGATTATCTTTCAAGTAAAACTGTAGAAGGGTGGATCATTTGTTTCGAGTCAATCTACTCGTTCAGGATTTGCGGAACAGGATCGCAGCTTCATTGCGTGCTTTATTGTGAGTAGGATCATTACTGTCGACTTAATGGTAGCTACTTCACCTGACACGTTGGCTACACAGCATCATTAGTATTAAGATATTTTATACACATCTTTAGCAACGTTTTTAAAACACGATTCGCCTTCTAAAATATGTCATACACTTCATCTTCATCGATCAGTTGAAGCTTTTTTACCTCCATCACTGAGAAGGAAATGAGAAATTACCACTGGCGTAGCGTTCGGATTTACGACCCGTGATAGATGTTATTGCATTTTCGTCGCACGCTGAACATCGTCACCCCCCTTAATAACATCTATTACTGAGTGATGGCTAAGGTAATATCGCTTCATGCTACTGTAGGTAAGGTAGAGGATTCCGAACAGTAATCCTCTGTGATTACAGAAAAACCAAGTCTAACTGAAAAACATGGTATTCTAGTTGAAGAAATGTGTAATGCTACACTTTCTTCGTTGATTTATGTTATATAAACAGTAGTACTTTTATGATTTATTAAAGAGATAGCATTGCGCTTCTCAGTTGTGACGCTTTTCACTAATATTTACTTGTTTTGTTTCAAAGAAAATAAAACTGAATTATTAATATCTTCTAAGATATTCTATTATTAAAGCTTACAGATAATTTTTTTCTGTACCGAAAGAACATTAATTATTTATTTTTTTAAATTTTGTTTAGAAAATTTTCAATTATAAAATCTAACGTCGTTTAAATAGAATTGCAATTTTTATAATTACTCATATTATAGTAATTTCCAACACTAAATTAAAAGTTTTTTTTCAACTCACTTTAATTGATGTTTGTTTTTTTAAGATAGAAATTCTAGGAGAATTTTCTCCTTTGTTCAAAGAGTAATCTTTAAAAATTATAATTGACTTTCTTATCTTATTTTCTTTTGTTTTTATAAGATTCTTTCACAAAAATAACTTATCTAGTTTCATAAAAATCAAAAATCCTAGCCATTTCTTCTATCAATCTCGTAGAAAGATCCGCAGCAATATTTCTTTTAATGCTGTACATAAGACGCTTAGAGTCGGACTGCTAAAGATTTTTCTGTAAGAAAGAAAACATCTCTTGGGTAAATATGATAATAAAGAACTTCTTCGAAATATAATCGATCGACTTTTACGATCGATTAGCATTAAACATGTTTCTGACATAACAATTTCTCACGATTCTCAATCGAAACTTCTTGAAGAGATTTCTTCTTTTCTAAAACTCCAATTTAAAAAATAAAATATATAGCCTATATATAAATATAAAAAATACTGTTATTTTGATTTCTTTAAAATTTCATATTTTAAATGTTTTAAATAAATAAGTCCACGTGGATAAAGAAGTTGTGTAAATTAGAAAATAAGCAAAATTAACCAATTTTAAGGGAGAAAAATGCTTCATATTGACTGCTGGAGTGTGTAGCTTTTGACATTAGAGTCACCCAAACATGCCACGTGTGGGGGGAATGAAGAAGGGGAGAGTCACCTCTTGGCTCGACATCATCGTGAATTCCATCACATACCTCGTTGGAGATAGATTAGTCGAAGTGGAAATTAAAACACAAATGAAAGTGGAATTTGTAACGAAGGGAGAGGCAAAATTCCTAATGCTGATTGCTATTTGGTCGATGAACATCCATGTATAGCAACAAAAGAAAAACTTCAACAACGTTCCTTCCACAAAATTTATCTACCTGTTCCCTCTCGAAAATCCTTCCATTATTTTTTACATTGTTATTATCATATTTTTCTCTTTCCATTTAGCAACAGATGCAAGAACCATTTAAATTTTGATGAGTTAAACTTTTTTTTTTTAATTTTTTAAAAAACTTCTTCAAAAAATATATCTGATTGTCCTTAAATTTTATTCAAAACAAAAATGCAATTTCAGTAAAAATGTTATTACATTTATCTAAAAACAATTTGCATTTTTCTATTTTAGAATTTCATCCAGAGAATATATTTTATAAAGCGAATACAGTTTATTTTTATTATTTTTTCCTGGTGGATAGGCTTCTTCTCGTAACTTTAGAATACGGCAGTGAAGCTTGCAGCACAGAATTAGATTAGTAATTAGATCAAAAAGTTCGCTTTTGAAATTTATAAATATTCAAAAATTTTTATTGATTTATGTTTTATATAAATTTAATAAACAAGAAAAATTTCGGCTTGTTTAAAAAATTGTTTCGATGTTATTCTATGAACTTACTTTATCCACTTTCGTAATATAATTGTAAAACTTGAAGTTATCCTTTTTTTTTTTCCTATTCAATTTTTATGCAAAATAAAATTGAGGTTTTAAATCTAGTTTAATTTTTTATATCAAAAATAATTCGAAAAATTAAAAAGAAAGAATTTTAAATATAATTTGGGAATATTTCTTCTGATATAAAGTGAATACATTAGTTGCATCAATTTTCTTGAAGTTTAACTAGATTTTATAATGTAAATAGTATTATATTATATGAAAATAAGTGTATACTTATAATTTATTCACTACCTCTTTAGCAGAAAGTAACCTGCTAAAGAAGTAGTAAAGAAATTAAATAGAATTAAATGCATTAATACAAAATTTTCTACATTATCTAAATAGTACTTTTTATAACTGATATCCAGTTACATTATAAGATTTTAACGTTAAAATTTGGTCTTTCTATTATACTTTACATCTCGAAAAATGCTTTATAATGTTTTCTAATGTTAAAAATAGTTTAAAGAGTAATATAAGATAGAAATATATGACAAAGTCAACTTTCATTCTTGTCAATGTAATCACGCGAAAATGTCTAATGATACAAGTCTCTACCTCGTTACTCTTCGAATTTCTCCACTAGAGGTCGTCAGTGCAATTTCACGGTTCACATGACTTCTGTCAATTTCATCTCTGCCCTCCTATTTTACTCAAAGGTGAAAGAAACAGCTAAAGAGACAGAGAGAGAGGGGAGTAAACGTGACCTGTATTTCTACGTATTCCTACCCAATCAAATCATATTTTGCAAAGAAACTGTCGTCATAGAAACGGATAAAATCCATTTTTATAGGGAGAGAGAGCTATATAAACAGAGGAAAAAAACAAGATATAATATAGATATCTATACTCCTACTAGGCTAAATATAAAAATAAAATAACTACGTTTATAAATTTTTATCGAAGTTTTTATATAACTTAGCAGGTTTTTATTATACTTTTATGACCGTAACTAAATTGTAAACTTAGAACACTGCATTATACGACGGGATAATGTGCAAAAATGGATGCATTCCAACATTTGAGAGACCTGGAACAAGAGTAAAGCAGACTGCTTGACCTATATATGTACTGCAGAAAGTGAAAAAAGTATAGAAAATTAAAGAGAATTTTCTTTTAAAATTCGAAAATCGCGGCTTTATTTTATCGTACGACCCACGTGCAAAAGTTTTTCTTTAATAAAACTACACTGTAGCAATTTCTAACGTAATTGCCACGCGAATCTAATCTCCTATTGTCGACTGCACATTAAAATAATTATCTCCATTTATGTAGTCATTACTACTACGAAATGCCATTCCATAATCGACTTACACCAATATTTATCATGTTGTTGATAAATAAACATTAAGAGATTTTTTGAAAAATTATATTCCTATTTAACTTAATTATCACGTTTAATTATCTACCTGAACGTAACTAATTAAATTTTATCTTGATTAGCTGCGTTAATGAGGCTCATTTGGGTCCGAACGTCCGGAAAGGTGGCAGAAAATTTTGAAAAAACATCATCCGTTCGGCGAATGTACTCGCAAGTTGCCTATCTAGAAGTCATTTTGTATTCAATGACTAGTATAGGCGAGGCGAGAACGTCCCAGTGGGAGGTACAAGTCTCTAGAGCTATCCAACACTTGTATTTTCTAAGATAACCTAGCAATCTATCATGTCAGCTGTCTGGACGGAAATACGACGATTTAGGTCAAAACAGTTGCTGGAGAGAGACTTTCAGATTTACTCAACATCCGAGAATCCATCACTCTTCCACTTCACATCTGCATCCCGGATGAAAAGGCAGATCTTATCGTGCAGAAAGCCTATAAATGGGTATAATTATTATTAAAAGGGGTCCACTCCCATTTCGATATCGTAATTATGCCATAAAGAAAATATATAGCACGTCAAATTCCGTCAAACAATTCTCATACCACTTCCTCCCTTTTACGATTTAAGTATAGGCTGACAAAAATCCATAAACCATTCCCAAAGAAGCAATTTATGAATTTTTAATTTATCAAATTCCATCATTCCAATAATTTTTAGTTAGTAGAGAAAGTAGCCACGGCTCCCATACAAGAGTGCAAATAACATGTTGTAGTATAGAACTAGAAGAAAATCAATAAACCTCTACCAACTGCGCCTGCCTTACCCAGTCGGTGCAATGAACTTATCCCACTGTATCCATGACAACATATGCATGACAACGGCTGCAGCTCGACGTCAGGGGCAGCCATTAGGTGTTTGGTCAGTGAGTCTGCTACCTCGCGATGTTGACAAGTCACACCTGGTTTTGGACAGCTTACAGGTGCTACAACGCTTAACTAAACTTTAGTAGAACAAGGTAAATATTCACACTCATTACTGTATATATGGCGCGTTTAATGATGTTTACCATGTTTATTGAAATTGATTAGTTTGTTTCTATAGTTACAACGTGAATGATAGTGTTCCCCTTTTTTTCTTACGTTTCTTTCATTCATCGTGAATTTTTTCAATAAACTCGTAAAGTAGAAGACGTATTTTAAGCGCAGTTTCTGATGGAATTTCAATATATATAGACTTGCAATACCCTGTTACCTTCTCCATCCCTCTTCATACATCACTGCAGACCGGAAAGTGCATTCTCTTCAACAAAAGGTATTATTGGGTCGCGGAGAGAGGTCAAACGTCCCAAGACGTGAGGGGAGGGGGAACGGAAGTTTATTGTCTAACTGTTGGAATTATGGCAGTAGAGAAATGATTGGTAAATCAATGCTGTATTGTGCTTCTAATCATTAGCCATCTATCTAGTTGGCGAATCTGTCTTAATGTAGGTGCGATCGTCTTGTAAAACCCTTTTATATATCACTGTTCAATCAATATAATCGGTGCAACAAACTTTTCAAAATCCGGTCTGACGATTTGCATTGCTAATCAGTATCTCACGTTTCGCATTATTATCGAAGTAAGGGGATTCTCTCTTCAAGATTCACTCCTGCTTTAGCTCTTAACATCCTAAAGTGGAATTTAAGTTTCGGTCTTAGGTAATCTTGTATGACTAAGAGGGATGAATTTTAAATTGTGAACTTTTGCTTTAGCTATCTACGCGTATTTTTGCTAATTTAAGTCTCTGCCAATATGCAAATTTTTCTGAAGATAAGACTCATAAAGTTGAAAAATATTCATGTAAAGACTGGGAGCACTTTTCATAAAATGCTTTAAAGCGGTAATTTAAGTTTAGTAATGATACATTTTGCTATAGTAACGACGATGGCTTAAGGTGTTTTCACTCAAGTAATCTTCAACGTGGGAGCGTCAGAATGGAGATAATTAGTTGCCATTTAGCTGTTAGTACAAGCGAAATGATTGATGACAACATCCAATGATATCAGACAGACGGGTCTCTGTTATCATTACGTTTCTAACAAGACATCTTATCTCTCTATCCTTTCTATTTTGTGATTCTCCATTTTGACATTTTAAGTTTAACTCTTAATGAAAGACTGTGACAAATCGGTTAAAAATAGTTCCTCCTCTACGTTCATCGTCTGATAATATCGCTTTTAATCCCTCTATTTAACGATTTTAATATGATATATTTTTTTCCCTGCTGCCGATAGCTGCTGATCATGAAGCTGATTCGTTGGGTAGAAGTGCATATCGGACGATCTCGTAGGAAAGGAAAGAAAGATCGTGAACGAGAGGAAGAAGCGAAGAAAGATGAAGCTTCCACACCCGAATTATCGAAGAATACCTGTTGTAGGAGTCCTGCCAAAGAACGCCACGTTCAGAAAACGGATACTCCGATTCCAGTTCGGGATGCTGCTCGACGTACTTTGCACATTAGAACAAGCTTTTTAGACGTAAGTGACGTGACAAATTCACCGCGTCAAAGGAGCAGAATCCGAACAAATCCCTGGTTTCCCTCCCCGCGTAGTTCGGCTGGCGATAGTGGACACAGTTCCGAAAATGCCGATTCCGTTAGCTGTTCTGGTAGCGTATTTGGCAGTCAGTCTTCTGGCAGTCTGTGGGACTGTGACGGTTGGGTTTCTCTATCGTCACTGCGAAGCGTACGCGATGCTAGTCCTTCAGTTACGCGACCTCTGAGACGACATATAGATAGGTGTCGAGAACCCGAAGAATCGTCTCCCATCGGCGGGAGTATCAAACGTAGCGATTGGATTTATTTCCAGGAAGCTACTATAGATCAGTTAGATGAAGTAGATAGCAGCGAAGTAGACGAAGCTTATTCAGAAGATTACGTACAATCGGAAGATGGAGTCGAGGTGAATGATTTTCCCTCAAAACCTCAGCCTCCAGATACTGGAAGTCCCCAAGCGGATAGTGCGTGTGGTAGCGATCCCGATAATAGCAGTTGCAGTACTACTCCCCTGTCCGAAACAGGGGGAGAAGTATTAGACGTAACTGGGGAAACATTGCACGATAAAGTACAGCGATTACGTTCGGAACGTCATTTAGTAGAACGCAAGATACGCGAAGCTCGGGAGGAGGAGATGTCTAGAAGGGGAGAGCAATTGAGATTGCAACAGGAACTGGTGCAATATCGTCGTCTGTTATTGCTCCAGACATTGCAGGAGCTGCGTACCAGACTGGAACAACAGGGTGATCGTTTGCATAGGGCATACACGGCAACTTGCGATTTGCAAGACGCACAGACACGTTGAAAAAGAAGAAAAACGCACACTATTCATCTCACAATACGTGCCAAAGAATGAGATTTCTTTTCGTTTTTTTGTGTAAATAATGCTCAATCTGCACGGAGATCTTAGTAAAGTATAGGGTATATCTTCATTTAGTAATAGTCATTAACAATCTTGCCTATTACGGACGTATGTTACTGTCGTATATAGAGAAGGTAGCATTGAATTTTTTCATCTGTTCCCAATCGATTGCTCTCACTGCACATTCCAAAAATCGTTTAGTGCCAAAATTGTTGACATTCCCCCCATATCTCCGATACGGAAAAACGTTGTGTGTTTTATTTATTGCTTATTTAATAATGATGATAAAAACCACGAAAATGTGGTATGACGTTGTGTGTCCTTTAAAAAAAATATTGTGATTGTTAATGTGTTCTGTTGAAGTAAAAAAAAAAAATGCGGTTTTGGGAGAAATTTATACTTTTGAAACCACAATGTAAAGATCTCATTTTTTCTGAATACTGGAACCACGAAATCCAGTTTATTAATTTGATTTTTAACTCTTCAAAATATATTTATATCGCATATATATATATATAAAAATATATATAAACTTTCTATGTTAGAAAAATGATAGGTTGTGAAGAGTTATAAAAAAAAAATTGTGTTGTGTTGGTTTATTTTTAAACAATTTTTTGAATATTCACCAAGTTATGACTGATGTGGTGATTGTTATTGTGACATTGTTAGAAGCAAATAAAAATTATGTATGATTCTATGGGTCGTAGATCCAGAAAAAAAGTGTAGTTCAGTGATGATGAGTTTCTTTACATCTCCGAAGATGTAGGCCAATATTGATCAGAAATAAAGATAGAAAAATCACGTTTGCTTTTGATTGAATTTTTGATTTCTGATCTAAAATTCAAATTTTAACTGTGCAAATCTTTGCTTTCAATATTTGGCAACGATCACTCTAATGTAAAAGTTTAAAAGCTTCCATAGCAGTTAACTGTTTTAAAGCAAACATTTACACAGCTCCAGAAATTTTGCTGATTCACACACATTTGGACGATTTAAAAATTAGCATAAACGTTTTCTGTTCTCTCGAAATTTAAATTTTAAATGGATATTTATTTTACATCATTTAGAACTGTCAGGACTTTTAAGATCATTCCGTGTAACGAGAACGGAGTTTATGAATGCATTACGAATGTGGCTCCATCTCGCGTCTAAAAATAATTTTTTTGGATAAAAGGAAATTAAACTACAAGTTTGTATACAAAGATTATTTTTTTATACATAGAAACATTCACAATCACATTTGTTTTTTGTATGGCATATAAGTACATTAAAATTTTATATATATATCACATTTACATTGAAAGTTTGTACAACAGTTTGGCAGTGAGAAATAACATGTCTCATATGCTTCAAACTGGTTAAAAATTATTAAGCTATAGAAAATATTAACTTACAGACAATATTTAAACAATACAACAAAATCAGATCATTGAATAAAGGGAAAAACAAGAACATTTTTTTAAATAGTTAAAAAAAAATACACTTTTGGAATGTTCATTCTTACTCCAATAAATATATACAATTTTTATATTGATATTATTTTACAGTCTTTTTATAAACAAAATTTTGTACTTTTATAAACATGTAATCTTTTATAATATATATATATCTTTTCAAATCAAAAAATTAATTGAGAAATTTATACTTATAAAAAAAGTTTGTATTTTGAATATCTGTGCTTATAAGCAATTGTAATAAAACTTCCACATTGCTTTTAGAGGATTAAAAAAGGAGAGAATGAGACATAGTGTACCAAAATTTGTCTGACATGGATGTGATTTTTAATCAAGATTATATCAAAATGGAATATATATAAAAGTTTGTTAGAGTTATTTTCTGCTTATTATATAAACAATTAATTTTAGTATAGTGATGCATGTATAAAATTTCATGGAACATTGGCAGGACAAGGATCACAGAGTATTGATGATGGCCAGTTTGTAAAAATTAAGACACCCCTTAAAATGTAGGTTTTAGAAGTGGAAGCACTGAACAGAAATCAGTAAATATCAAATAACAAACACTACCTTGCAGTTTTTTCATTAGTACTTTGATTATTGTAAGAAGTGTTGCTATTTGAAAGTTCTTGGGTGCTCCAAACACAACACTTTTCATTTTTCTTTTCATTATTTTGAGCAGTTTCTTCAGAAACTGAATCACTTAAAGGCATCCCTAAAATCATATTTCTTGATGACCTATTGAGACTTCCAAAACTAGTCATTTGTGAAACAATACCATTTGATTTTCCATCTTCAGCAGGTGGTTTGTAAAACAGCCAAGAAAGAAGGAAGAAAATACATGAAAGTGCTTTGAGAAGCGTAGCCATTATTACTACATTAGTACTCATTTGTTTGTTGTTGTAAAATAAACAAGCTCCTTTTTTATGACAGGTATCTTGCCATAAAATACAACTCAAATCTATTAATGAACCAAATATGATTGGAGCTGGTATTGTACCTGAAATAGATAAATGTAATAAATTTAAGTTAAATATTTTTTTAAATGTATATTGAATTAAATACTTAAACATAAAAACTAAATGTTAAAATATACCAATATACAGTATTAATTTTCTAATTAAAACTTATAAAAAGATAACATTAAACCAATGCAGTTTCAATTGATAATTTTTTTGAGCACATAAAATAAGTAAATATAGTGTGAAAGGACTCAACTATTTAAAAATATAACATTTTAATATTTTTTAAACTAATTTCATCCATATTTCTAGAATATTCAATATTTACACAACAATACATTAATTAAAGTGCTAATTGCCTAATCATTCCCAAATAAAACAAAATAATAATATAAGGAATATTAACTTAATGCATTATTATTAAAAATATAAAAATTTAACATAGATTATTTAAACTTGTTCAAATACAAATTGTAAATACATAATATATGCATGTCTGTTTATGAGGTTTCCATATTTCCACTCAAGAATGAGTTTTTTCAGTTTTGTGTTTTTGATAATTCAGTGAAAAAATTCTTTCATAAATAAATAAAAATATTTTACTTATATTAGTTTTCATATTAAATATTACATAATTTGAACAAAGTTGCATTTTAGTTCATCACAATAGAGCTCTCTAGATCTATAGTATTTATTAAAATCAGGAACAATAACTGACATTTAATCCATCCTGAATAGCAATATATTATTAAAAATAGATAATCATAAATACCTTTGACTAAAGTGGAATTTGAATCTATAATCAAACAGATGATGAACAATGTGTTTAAATTTGTTAAAGTAGTGTTTCTTGGAAATAATATCAAAAAATTCATTTTTTTTTTATACTTTTAAACTTTATTTCAATGAGCAACTAAAATTATTTTAATATTTTATACAAAACCAAATAAAATAAACCATGTTTAACTTTGTAAAAAAAAAAGAATAGAAAATATTACTATATGTTTAATTACAGCAATTCATTTATAAATAAATTGTTTTTCTTAATTGTTGGATTTGACAGCTGGCTGGTTCAAGCAGTTAATGTATTAGCTTACCACTCTGAAGGTTCAGTGATCAAATCTGGGGAATAGAAAAACCCCAGAAATTTTTCATGAGAGGTCCACTTCAGATATATTGGGTTCTATCTCTCTCCATCTGGTTGTCTTTATTGTGGGCCTGGCTGAGCTCTTGATGGGTATGAGAAAAGGCCTTAGTGCCCACAGTGTGGAAAGAGTTTAAAAAAATAATATGTAACAATTGTTTGATCCATATTCCTAGAGTATACAGTACTAAAATACTGAATAGAATTCCTGATATATTCTTATAAAACTTTATATAATGGTATAGTTTTTTATTTTATTATACAGTATGATATTGTGTTTTAGATTAATTATATAAGCATATAAAGATTTCAAATTTTTCCAAAATTATCATCATCATTTGAATATTAAAAAATTTAATATAAAATAATAAATTTTTTAAAGTAAGATTTTAACAAAATGTTACTGAAAGAAATTTGTAATAATGTAAAATTACTATATAAATATAAGTTTTAATTTTTAATAGCATAAAGGATAGAAAATAACATTTTATTATTATTACGCATTAATAAAACTGAACCTAAATACATAAAATTATTATCCTGGTTTAGCAAATGTCATAAACTCCTCATGCTATTATACTGCTAACTCAGCAACTGAGTCATAAAATGTTCTAAAAATATCAAAACTTGATTTTATCTTCATTTAGATGGTTTAACATTATTTGCATTTGTTTCTGGAGGAAAAGTTTTAATTAATATTTTCAGTAATGACTATCTTTTTTTAAAAGGTTATATGAAGTTTTTTTTAATTCAAAATTAGAAACTTAATTATTTGGCTAATTAATATCTTATGATAATTAGAAATATTTTAATTAATAACAAATTTCTTCATGCAATTATTTAATTTTGTTTTTCTAAACAGGTACCAAATTTGAGTAAAGTAATGATAATTGTTATCAAATTTGATATTTATCAGTTCTTTTAATTTGAAATGTTATAAAATGAAGCAAAAATATAATTCCAAGTTTTAAATTACTTTATCCAAATTGATAAAAATAATTGCATTAAAGTATATTATTTTTATTTTTATTGTATTTATGTGCAATCATGCTGATATTTATTTAATTAACAAACTTGTTTTTAAAATATTAGTATATTTAATTTCTGTTTGTTTAAAATATAAAAATGAAAATCTCTATTATAAAATAATTTATACCTAAATGAAATTATAATACAAATAACTTTAATCATTATCATATTTTCAGTTAATATTTAAGAAGTTATTTTTAACAAATATAGAATCATTAATTAAATATTATTTTTTTTAATGATTAACAAATTTTTAATTTAAATTTTAGAATAATAAATTATCTTTGAAAAATGTTTACAGAATATTATTTCTATATTTCTAGTAGTTCACATATTTTCCAATTAATAGTTATAGAAAATTTGACATGTTCTATTATTATTAATTGACAAATGTATGAAAGATTAGTACAGATAAAGAAGAAATAATTAATTTTCTGACTTCTATAAATTTAGTGTCAAACATTTCATTGCTAAGTACTGTATATTAGTTCCAAAACAAAAAAACAATGAAAAAATTTTTAAAAGGGTGAAGATAGAAAAACAACAGCAAATAAGTAACAAATTAATTGAGAAAAGATTCTGTTACATTACTCCTGTATCAGTATTGAAGGTTTATGAAACAAGTACATAATTACGGCATAAAATAAATAAATTAATCAAAATACAGCAAAATTTTATATCTTATTGATTCTAAAATAATAAATTTCAGAAATATAGTTTTATATTATATAAAATATATTAATTTCATATATGGCAACCTCAGAACAAGAGTCCAGTCTCAGATCTATGTCCAGTTTTTGGTTTTATAGCCTTAGCATGTGGAGTTTGCTTAAAAGCAACTTCTTTATCTAATGCAATACAGATTCAAAGAGAATTTATTGTTACATTCCAGACTCAAAAAGAGAAAAAAAATATGGAAAATATTGTGTAAAAGTTTTCATTAGTTATCTCAAAATTAGAATTTACTGATGTGGGTCATTCTTGCTCTGAGATTGTCATATATAAATGAAAGGTTTGGATGTAAAATATGATAAGCACAGTAATGAAAGTTTAGAGAAAATGGAAAAATTAAATTGAAAAAGTTTTCTGCTTTATTTTCTTTAATCAGAATAAAGTGCATGTTATAGTAAAAAGTACACATAATATTTAAATTGAAATACTAAACTGTTTAGTTATTAGCATGTATTATAATGTACTAATGGAAACGGCACTTACCATCTTTTACATCTGAACCCTTCAAATATTTTACACACAAAAGTTCTTTGAAAACTATAAGACTAAATCAGAAATATTTATAATCAGTACTACCAATAATATAAATTATTTAGTTCTTCTGAAATCCTTAGTACTAAAAGTTAATGTACAGTACACACTGTAGATGTCCTAAGTCTAATTATTAATCTTGTAACTTGTACTATCTAACTGGATATTTCTTGGTTAAATTTGACTTATGAAAATATTAAATTTTTACACACAAATATATGCATCATCTCATTTACAGTATATATTTGTAGTATTTAAATGTTAAAAAAATTTTAACAACTTGTTATGGAAAAAATATCATTAAAATATAATTCTCTTAAATTTAATAAACTGACTCCAAATTAATTATCATAGTTATTATATATACTCAACAAAATATTAAATTTCTAAAACAAGTCTTATAATTTATATAAGATTTAAATAAAATTACAGAAATAGTTTATGTTTTAAATACATAGTCAATAAGGTTAAATGTATAAATAATAGTAATAAATAAATTTTATTAATTACAGAAAAGTTTTTAAAAAATGAAGATAAAGAAGTAATAGTAGACTAGATTGTTTATTATTATTCAGTAATAGTTCTGTATATATGAATATTATTTTTAATGTTATTAAAGACTGTTTTTTACATGTAATTACATTTAAGAAACAAGATGAATAATATACATATTATTCATCTTGTTTCTTAAATCTATATGAAGAAGGCTATTTTTTGTTCAGAACAAAAAAAGCATATCTTAATTTTTATTGATATAAAAATAATTCTTCTATTTAAAATTTGGTAATACACTTAAATTTTCTTTCAAATAATTCTTCAAAACCTATAAAAATTAGATTAAAATATATTTTAATTAAATTATAATATATTAAAAAGTAATTAAAATATATTTTAATGTAATTTTTCATATTTGAAAAAAATATATAAAAATTATTAAATATATAAATTTTATTTTATTTGGATTGTTTACAAATTCAATTTCATACTCATTTTCTTCAAAATCTTGTTAAAATGGTAATATAAGACAGAAGTTTGAGTTTTATATTACAAGTTGAAATATTTTTAATTTAATTCTTTCAACTAAATAAGATATGAAAAATACTATGATCTACTTAAATTTATTAATATTGTTGTTTTTATTTTAAATTACAAAAAAAAATTAATTAATTTTTAAATTAAGCTTTGAATGTTGCTGTTTTTTTCTCTTTCAAACGATAATTTACAAATTTTAATTAAATAGTGACACAGAAAACATGCTTTGGTTTATATTAAGAAAGTTTCCAACATATTAAATAATTTATTTATTTATTTAAGTTCTACTTTTTTTTATTTAAATTTCAATTTATGCTTTAACAGAATTAATAATTAAAATAACAAATGGACACTAATATACATTTGACTGAATTGAACAAAGATGATTTATTTAAAATTTAATAAATTTCTATAATATCCATTAATCTAAAATAATAAGACAGCTTCAATTCTGTGCTATCCAAAGCTTAGAAAAGCATACTTATGAGAAGTTCTCAAAATGAAATGGTAAGCAATTAATAAACATTTACTTGACAGAGATAATAATCCAAATTCATTTTCCTTAACCTTCATATATTTCATGTCATTCATAATAACTACATGAGTTTTAATTCAATTCTTACAGTTATTTGAA